GAACTCTTGTGAATAACAAAGATCTTTAAAACCTCTCTTGTTATCGCAAAGTGAAAAAAAATTTTTTTTTACTCAGCAATGTTCTATCTGCAAGGTACGTAGTAAATGTTCTGAGAAAAAAAATTAAATTATAATGTGTAAAATGTGGATTCCATACCCTTGACCTCCACATGGTCATTTAATACAGCCCAGCCTTTTCTTTTCTGCCTGACTTCTCTGAGAAGCAAAAGCTACAAGGTGAGGGAAAAATTTTGCTCCCAACTGCCAGCACAACCCCAGTGAAAGGAAACTAAAAAGACCCAAACACAATATCCAGATTTTTTCCTGTTATCGTTTAGATTTGACACACATCCTTCCCTCGGTGTTTTCTTTTAAAAAGAAAGCTCAAAGACTTCTGCTACTAGGGACATTTCAGCCTGGCAGATTACCCAAGAAAGCTAAATACTGCAATACTCCCCGTGAGCTTTGCAATATTGGTTGCCACCAACCAAAAGAAGCAAAGACGCACTCTGAGATAAGGATTTGGTTTAATGAGCAAATTACAGCAGGACCAGCACTGAAGGTGATCGTTACGGATCACAATAATCTTCAATTATCTTGTGTCCAAGAGGCAGCTCTAAAAAAGAAAAATATAAATTATTAAGAACCTGAAATCTACTCTCCCGTTTTGAAGATGATGCGCAAAATATCATTTTGTTTTCTCTAAGTTATTTATACTTATAAATAATATTTATATTTATAATATATATTTATATTTATTGGCTTTTATGAAGCCCAAGGGATCTAACAGTTTACAACCCAAAAAAACATGCTTATGATAACATGGTGAAATGCCATTACAAACATAATTAGCCAACCTCTGCTTTAACAATAAAGCTTCTAATGGCATGATTTGAAAACTCTTTAAAAAAATTGGAAGCAATGAAACTGGCTACATTTTTCCAAGAAAGCACATGAATGTTAGAATTAAGGAAAGTACATCACTGTCAACAGACAGTGGCAGGCTTATACAAGGAATTATTTTGGTTAAATCTACTTAACTGATTTAACTTTTACCTATACTTTAACTGAGTTGCCATTTCTTATTTTGTAGTTTTGTATTTCAAAATGCACAGTGAGCCACCTTAAAGGTATTTGCTAAACGGTTATAAAATAAACCAGTAACAGATCCATGCCATTTCCTTGCTAACACTGTGGAAGTGGTTTAATCTGTCTTACTGTCTTAATCTGTATCCGGCCACCCAACACCAAAGCAGCTCAGTGGTCTGCCACGGCTTTCTCCCAGGAAGAGTTTTGACGGGTGAGGGCGGAGAGAGGACAACCACCCCAAGATTGCCCAGCTGTCTTCCACTAAGGGAGAACTAGAGCCTGGATCTCTCATTCGATGCCAGCACTTTAATCGCTATGCCACACTGGCTCACTTCTATATATCCATACCTAGCTTAAACATTCCCTTGAATTATTACACCATAAGTTGCACAATCACTTACCTATGATTATTAGGCGTCACCAGGCCTCACGCTTTGAAACACTCCTGCTTTTTTCTTGTCCTCAAAGTCTTTCGCGAAGTCAAATGTTTTATAGAAATCTCTGTATTGTTTTTGCCTTCCTTGAATGAAAGCAAACTGAAGAGAAAAAAGTTACCATTACTAGCCTTCAAAATTCAATTAGATACTGAACAAAAGCAGTGTTTTTTTTTAAATGAGAGCAATGTCTATGAAAACACTCTTATTTGCAGCCTAAATTGAGAAAACAGTGATGGAATTGATGGAAAAAGTACACATCATTAAGGCTACAATCTTATACCTATTTACCTGCGACTTACAGGTAGTCCTTGCTTAACAACCCTAATTAGGACCAGAATTCCCATTGCTAAATGAAGTGGTCATTAGGCGAAACATCATGTGACTGCAGGGCTTAGCAACAGCAGTTCTGGTAGTCCCAGTTGTGGTCATTAGGCAAGGACCTCACACTTCTCGCCTAACTCCCCCCCCCATCTCTGCCCTTTTGGCCACCCAGCACTCCACCGCCACCTACCCCTGCCGCCCCCACTGCCCCACTTCAGGCCCCATTTCTGCAGTCTCAGCCCCTCCCTGGCTGGGGTTCATGTATGCATGCTTGCCTCTGCCGTTCGCCACCACCTCCTTGGCCATAAGCTCCTGACAGGCCTGCAGCCAAGAGGGCTATGCATAATGAAATAACATGTTTCTTCCTTGCTCCAAACGTAATAAACAAAACTTCATCACTGACTTCCTTCTTTAGCAACACAAATCCTCCCACATCTGACTGGGCACATCTAGGTGGAAAAGGCAGAGACAGAGGCGGGATGGGGTACAGCAGACCCATCACAAACCGGGCAGGAGTGTCCAGAGAGGTGAGGGGCGCAAACTTCCTCCCTTCCCTCCCCCCTTCCCTGTCACTCCAGGGCTGAGAAAGCACCACCACTGCCAGGTCCATGCCCCCCCGCAGCAAAAAGCCACTTACAGCTTTCCTGCCCAGGAAGGAGCAGCTGTACAAAGACCCCCCCAGCCCCACTCCCAAGATGGCCAGAGCACACAGCCAGGACCTGGTCCATGGAGCTCCGAGCAGGAGGCCACTGGTCAGCTGTGGCTCCTCCTGGACACAATCTGAAGCCTGCCCCTGCCTTGTTTTCGCTTGCCTCTTGGGAGGCACTACCCTCTGTGGAATAAATGGCTACAAGACCATGGTTGGCAGCCAGGAAAAGGCAGCGAACCACGTGCTGTGTGCAGAACCCCAGCAGTTAGAACAGGTGTGCATGTGGGAATATGTGGCTGGCTGAGACTGCTGAAGTGGGGTAGGCCTCTCAGAAGCCTGGTGGCCAGGGAGGCGGCTGCAAGCCCAGCACCAACAGAGGCCCCATGCCAAGAAGAAGGAAAAACATGAAAAAGGTCAGCTGGGGGTGGCGGCAGCAGAGTGGCCAAAAGGGCAGAGGTGGGGAGGGAGATAGGTAGGTGGGGGGACTTGAAGCACACTCTGCAGTCATAAATGCAGGCAGGTTGCCAAGCACCCAAATTTTGATCACATGACCATGGGGCGCTGCAACAACCATAACTTCAAGGATTGGCCATAACTACCATTTGTTCAATGGTCGCTGAACAAATGGTTGTTAAGCAAGGACTACCTGTAATTTTGCAGGACTTGCTCAAATATATAAGAATTGGACTTAAGCATGAAATGAAACTGATTTATATTGACTTTTAACACAAGTCCTGACCTCCAAGTAAATCAGACATCCTGTTACTAAAGTAACTCCAATCAGAAAATTCCTTCTCGCAAATTTTCCCAGGAGGTCTTTCATTTGTGGCTTGGGCAACAAACCAGAAGACATAGTGATGTTTTTTCCTAAAAAAAGAAAAGGAAAATTAAGGCTTTGCTATCATGATCACATCATTAACTCAACAAGAACAACAAAAATCACAGCCACAAAGAGTTCCCTATATCAGAAAAGGAGCAATCTTTTATAGAACTACCTAATTCTTTGGAAATTCAGTAATATTTACAAGAAATCCATAATGTGTGATATAGACTAGGGCTCTATAAAGTTTTTGAAAGATGTTTAGCAATAGGCAGGACAGAGTATATAAAGTGCCACTTTTGAAATTCAAGTAACCAAATTGCAAAGCTCCAGAAGCTGCACGCAGCTGTCACTATGCATACGTGCAGCAGAAGCAGATGGGAGCAGTTTCTACAGCAGCTGTGCAGCTCTGCAACCCAGTGGCTGCTTTGACAACGCAAAGACAACTGGTTCGTAGATGCTCCTCTGCTTTACAAGGCACAACCCTAATACGGATGCACCAGCATCCTCCCTTTCCCCAGCTGCAGATGGAATTTCAATCTTACACTTCGGGAGCTACTGTTAATTGCCAGCGTGACAAGGATCATCCTGCTGAGATTTTTTATTCTGCTGCTCATCCAAAGAACGGCGATCCGTTCAGCAAATATGGTCTCTCCCCACCCCGTGCACTGCATCCTGGAGACGGCCATAGCTTCCTCAGTCACGGTTCCCAAAGCCAATAATCTGCAGGATTCACATGGCCCAGTACGCCATAATTCGCGGCTAGCCAACCGTTACGGCGAGAAGCAAGCAAGCCATAAGCCAAAAATCACCTTATCCTTCTGGCCTCATCGCCTCCAGCTCCCACCCAGCGTGTCTCTGCCGGACCCCAAGGAAGACGGGCGCCCCAACTCCTCCCCCCGGGAGGGCCCCACCGGCCCACCAACCGCACCGCCACGGCGAGACCGCAGAGGCGCAAGTCCCCGCCTCCCGCTCTCCCCGGAGCCATGAACTAGGCCCGGCGTCCTCCGGAGCCCTGAAGGCAGCGAAGGGCCAGTCGGCACCTGCAGGGAAGCTGAGAACTGTTCAGGAGGCCGCCGCGGACACTCGCGCCCCACAGCAAGCAGGAGAAACTTCCTCCTCTGACCCCTACGGAGGTAAGGCTGTCCTTCCGCCTTCCCCTTCAGACGCACGGTTCCGGTTTGCGCACGCGCGTGAGACTACGGCAAGGCACTCAGCCCAAACTTGGACCGCGGGGGCTGCCTCCCCGAGCGCGGTGGGAGCGGGGTTCATCGCAGCGGAGGGCGGGCTTTTTGCCAGCCGGGGGGCGGTGCTGAAAGTTGACGTAACGCTGCGGCGCGACGAGGCTCGGGGTTAAGTAAGACGCGGTCGAAGGAGCGAGCGCTGAAGTCGAAGTGACTGAACTGCTTTCCCCAACCTGGCGCCCTCGATTCGGGTGTAGCCGAGAAATATAAGATGGTGCTGCAAACAGCTACGCTTGTTTCGGTTTAGAGCCGCGTTTACAACTCTTGAGTCCAGCGCTGCGCTAATAGTGAATGTCGCCGGTGTTGCTCCTGGAGCGAGCCAGTGCGATGTTCGGGGTGGGCAGTGTTTGTCCAGCTCTTAATGGAAAATTCATTGCCGATCCTGTGATTTGGATTGCTAAATCCCAAATTCCTTGCAGCCCCAGGGGAGAGTCGTGGCTTAGCCACCCTGCAGGTCCTTTGGCTCAGGGGCCCGGAGAAGCAGCCCTGCAGGAACATCTGGACAGCTGGAGCTCCACCATGCTGAGCTCAGCTCCTGGTGACAGACAAATCCACGCAGTCTGAGGGCCAGTCTTGCAAAAGCGGCCTTGGCGGGCATCCCCGTCCAGATTCACTGCCGGTCCTCCTGCTGGGTACCCGCTGCGCCCGGTCCTGCTAGCTTCGAGGCCAGGCCAGGTTGGCCAGATACCGCCATCTATTACCATTGTTCTGTTTGGGTACATCATTTTCTTGGTTCTGGACCGGAGTCACTTCTGAAAACTGGACTAGCAGCCGGCCTGTCAGATATAATTGGCATTGTTGAACAACGCTGAATAAAAAAACAAGTCCTGTGTGCCACAATCAAAATCAGATTTGCTCCTATTTTCAGGGCCAGAAGTGAATTCATGGCAAACTCTTGATTTAGAACTGACACGATGCCAAATATATTATAGCATTGTTTAAAAATTAGTATTTTAAAGTGGCTGTTATTTAAAACAGACATCAGAATTTCAGACATTTTATTTGGATTTGTTGTACTGTGTTGGGCACACCACAAGCATTTTGCTGTGTTATAAATTAAACTGAGACCCATGGATCAGGCATCATTTTTGCCACCTTGCGACAAGCTTTGTTTTCTGCTGATGCGAGTTCGTTGTATTCTTTACTAAACTTCTGCTGTTATGGCTTCAAGAATATTCATGGTGTAAGTTTTGCCTTTAGATAGTTCTAAATGCAGTTATAGAATTCTCATTACAGAATGCTATCATATAAGAGGAAAAGAAGACGATAGGCTTCCCATTTTCTATTTCTGTTACATCAGGTTTTTAGATTATGCTTGGCACTATTTTTATTGCAAAATTGGCTATTTCTACATTGTTTTGTTAGAAAAGAACCTTATCTTAAAAAGCGCATCCCATGTTTCTATTACATTAACATATCTGAGCTACGTGGTTAACAGAACTACAATAATAGTCTAAATAATCAAAGCTGAATACATTTAGATTAATGAATTTTCATTTATTTTCCTAAGGCATACTTGGTCACCCTCTGTATGGTATAAATATGTATATGGAATGGATTAAAAAAATGTGGCATTCTTCACCACTTCCTGTCTCTAAGCAGAAGGTATGAACTTGCTACAATCCATAGCTGCCATCCCGGTATTAATTAACTACTTACCAACTGGAGCCGTAACTTAACTAAGTGAAATTCTAGAAGGGTATCAGCAAAGCAAGATGTTGAAGCCAAATGGAAAACATGAACCAATAAAAAGACTCAACCAGTGGAACTGCAAGTTTAGCTTTTGAAGTTCTTTCAAGTACTGCATGCTTTAATTTTGGAGTAATCTTATGATGATGGATGCAAACAACAAATACGCAGGAATGGTTTTTCTAAGTTTTGGACCATATGCAGATGAAGCAACATGTTGATGGTTACCAGTGATTGCCACAACTATTGAAAGCATTAGTCATTGTCATGTTGGATTTTTAATCACTGGCTTGAAAAAGCTTTGAAAATGTGGAGAAAACAGAAGTTTCAAGTGCCCTTTTTTCTTTTTTCTTTTTTTAAAAAAATGACACAAAAGTACTAAACTTCATAGAAAGGGTTGCCCAAATAAACTAGACTATTTTGACAGCTTGACAAACAACAATCAATCTGGTTCAACTGAAGAAGTGGACTATAATCTACAAAAACTAATTTGGAAATAACTGCTTAGTCTTTAAGATACCACAAGACTCTTTCTTATTCTAACAATTAAAGGTGAATTTCTCATACCTAGTCTTTAATTACTGAGTCTTACTGTAGTTAATTTACCATGAAAGTAAATGATAAAATAGAATTTTAGATCATACAGCTTACATTTCTATGAATTGTTCTTTTAGGTTATACTCATGCTATATCCCAAACAGGTGGATATTCACAGAAGGCACTGGAAGCAATAGAGGTACCATACTGAAGGGAACATGGAGGTTCACCAATTTCCACTTCCTCTTACAACTTCCTGGGTTGGCTCATGCTGTCTGCAAAACACTCAACTTTCCAGAGCAGATTTTCAAGAGGCACAAAGGGCTGCAGGAAGAAGGATTCGCAAAGAACAATTTCTATCCTCCAACATGAGCAGAATTTTACTAAGCCAACTTTTTCCAGCTTAAGCACTCTTCAGATCTGCATTTCAAATCAGCTAGTATGGCCATTGCTAGGAGTTGATGTCCACACACTTGGAGATCATCTAGATTCAGGAGGCTGGACTAAGCACTACTCTGACTATAAATCAGTAAAGCACAGAATTAGAAGAGATCAAGAGATTATTGGAGTCATCTGCCAATGCAAGAAATTCTCTGACATTGGTCATCCAGCTGCAGCTTAAAATTTTCTATCTCTGAGAATGTGTTCTTCTGTCTATCTCCTTCTAGTCTGAGGAACAGTTCATGTCTCAGAATACCTCCTGAAGACTGCCTGATATCAGTAGGTATGCCAAACCATTGATCCTTCTGAAATCCCCATCCATTCCAAGAAGCAATCTTTTAAAGAAAGAAGCAAGTATGTCCTTTCCTCCATTTGCCAGATTATTCCAAAGTTCTGGTGGTCAAAGAAGGTAGCAAGTGAAAATTGGATGGTCTTTATAGAGAGCTGTCTTCAACCAAGCTTTGGCTTATGGATTAGATCTGACTCATGAGCAGGACATTTCCTGCCCTTGTTCTGTCTCTAGATTATAATTATATTATAATCGGATTGTCAGGAAATTCTTCCTAATGCTTATATAAACTCTCTTTTCTGGGAAATGGAACTGGCTGCCTGGATCCCATTTATTGGAATAATAATTTTACTCAGTGTGAGAGCCATTCAAATATTCTGGGTCCATTGTTCAAAAATATCCTTCAATATGTCCAATGTTAAAATATTTTGTTTCATTCTGTATTAGTAAGTTGAGTTTGAGTGTTCTTCTCCTTTGATTATAATTTTTAGTTCCTTCTAGTGTCCAATTTTTAAAGTCTGATTACTTTTTAAAAAAAAAATTCAAAACAAGCATTTTCCCACAGGAAGGATTCTTTATAATTAATTCCAAAATCTCATTCCAAGTTTATCTGGACTCTTAGTCCATTTGTAACTTTCTAAAATCAAAATTTTAATCACCCTTTTGCTGTTTGTTCCAGAAAAAAAAAAAAATTAAGACCTTTAACTTGTATTTAAAACTTCTTTTGCTAAGGATTGAAGTGCTGTAAAACTGTCAATTCAAAGGTTCCTAATAGCTGAAAAGCAGTTAACAATCAATTTCCAAAAGTGATTAGAAAAGGAAGCATGCAAACCCAGTGTCCTTTTAAAGGCGCCAACTGTAGTTTGAGAAAGATGGCTATTCCCTCATCTCCCAGAGGACTAAACTTCTGTCTTGCAGTCTCCTTATGAAGAGCAACTGTCTGAAGCACTTGTGGGCAATCTCAAGTCCTCTTCTTGTCTTCAATGTCCAGAGAGGAATTACAAAGAGCCAGTCTATTCACGGGCTCTTCGTTCTGCTGCGGTCGTTGGCTCCACTTTTTGTGGAGCCATCTTCAATTTGCCATTTCTCCCCCAGAAGTCTCTGTCTTTCAGGTCTTCCAATGGTGCACTCATCTGAAACTGAGTCCATCCACCTTGCTACTGGTCATCCTCTTCTCTTTCCTTCTATCTTTCCTAACATTAGAGCCTTTTCCAAAGAACTAGGTCTTTGTATAATGTGTCCAAAGTAGGATAATTTGACTATATGACCCTGATCATTTGTACCTTGAGTGAGAACTCTGAGTTGATTTGTTCAGTGATCCATTGGTTTATTTTTTTGGCTGTCCACAGTATTCTCAGGAGTCTTCTCCAACACCAAAATCCAATACTCTTCCTTTCCTGCTTCTTCAAAGTCCAACTTTCACTTCTGTAGAGGGTTACAGAGAGTACCATGGCTTGCACGATTCTGATCTTTGTTAGATATAGACACATCATGGCATTTGAATATCTTTTCCAAGGCCTTCATGGCTGCTTTACCAAGTGCTAGACCAGGTGGTAGGGTTTAACAAAAAATACCAGCAGTAGGTAAGCTTAAGTATTGATATTTCTACAGCAACTCTTTCTCACCAAAGCACATCTGCAAGCTGCTAACAGCTATCCATATTGCAAAAATAATTTAAATTCTCCCCTTAATATATAAAATTAACATCCATAAGCAATTAGGATTTATGCAGCTCAAACTTTTACTCAGAGGTCCCACAGAATCCAATGGATCTTATATCCATTATGAGCTGTTCCCCCCTCCCCCACCAATACAGGATTCTACCTTAAATTTAAAACTTAAAGAGAAAAACAAAAATTCTGGAAATTCTGAAAATCATAGTCCAAGGGATCTGGGAAATACCAGGTTGGAGATGACAAGTCAGAAAAATCAAGAAATGAATTCTGAGGATGGTGGATATTTTAACATAGGTTAGAGGACACATAGCTCAGGGCGAGAAGAGGGGGTGGGAATCCAATTCTAAAAGTGAACATCTATCTACCAAATGTTGGAAATCTATTTACCCAATATTACAGTTCAAAAGTTCTCTTTACATGTGAACATTTAAACGGCGGTGATTCAGATAGTATCAATACATTCTAAGAGGACCTTTGTTGGATAGGGAATCCAGTTTCCTGAATGCATTGGTTAATCTTGACAATCGTAATGCCATCACAGGCTAATATTTAGTCTGAAGTGTATGTTTTGTTAATATAGGACCTAAACCAGATGAAATTTTCTAAATTATGTACATTCTTGCCAATATGATTTTTTAAAATCTGAATTGAATTAGCAAGAAATGCAAACATTATTGAGATATGTCATTTAGAAATGGCCTATATTCATGAACAGTTATGATTTGGTGATTGGCCTCATATCACGTGTCACTGGAGAAATGAAGACAAAAAACCTAAAATGGTTCAAGAGAAAAATAATATACAACTGCTAACTTATCAATAACTTTATTAAGACTAATCACAATGTCACAAAAGAGAGTGAAAAATGAGTTGCTGTCAACAAAGTCACAAATTAGTGAATGACTCTGCATGTCTTTACTGTCTGCAATTCATTTTCTTCTGACCTCATTCTTTACAACTGAGCTTTCTCCAAACATTTCTATGTATCATGTATTGTATTATGTAACTCAATATAATTTTAATGTATTTGATCAAATGGATGCCAATCCATGAAAAATTATGTTATGGTAATTGCGTAAATCTTAAGGTGCCACAATGCAAACATAATGATGATCACATAATTAAAAGTTGCCATTTATAAAACTGTTGTTGAACATATCACAGTTATCCTTGTTTTGGTAATCTAATTCACACATATGCTATAATTAAAAAATGCTTCTCTCAGTTGAAGTCACAGGTGACAGAATTGACCACTGAAAGTACTATATAGTGGATATACTAGCATCTTGTAAACTGTATGAAACACATTAGGACTACAGCTAAATTACAGCTATATTAGATAATGTTGAAAGCATAATATTTCTTTAGAAAACCACAATAGATCTACTAATCTTTAGGAGCAGCAAAAACATCACACTCCAAAAATTTTTTTTAAAAAGCTTAAGTTCCATTGATTTTCAAATAAAAACATGTGAGTATCTGTTTCACTTTCTCCTTGAGATAAAGTAGACTGAAAACAAGATCCTAACTTGGCTGGATCATGACCATGTTTTTCCCTCATTCAGTTAATTTGGAAGAGCTGACTGTAAATTGGATAAATCAATTTCCACATAATTTGTGAACTACTCTGGAAAATTCAGGGGTGATAACGCTATGGATGAATTACCAGCAGTTACACAAAATTCTGTGAGACACCAAAGCAATGACATTTCTTATGACAGGCAAGTAAGACATCTACTTACACCACTTCCATCAAAACCACAGGGGAAACCATTGTTTTACTGCCTGGGTGGAAACAATTCTGCAAGGCCAAGTATCAATCATGCAAAGTTTATCCTCCCTGACATGTCTGGATTATATCCTTCATATAATAAGTCTGCTAAATATGACTCAGAATGGAGCTACTGAATAAGATAAACAAATCGTTTGGTTATTAAGTGTTTGAAGGTATCATGGGGGACATAAGAAGCAAAGGATTAATGGGTTGATGTTTGGACTGGCTACAAAGGTAGTCCAAATCTAAAACATGGGCACATTGTTGGTTTCATATTGTATTTGGCTAGAGAAAAAATTAAGTACCTAAATGGAAGTTACTTCTTAATATATGACATAAATCCTTGCTATAGAAAAGAAACAATCCAGACTACAGTTGTTTGACATATGGCATAGAAAACAAATTTCTAGCATGGTGAATCTAATCTTAGACACAAGGCCAAAAAGCAATATATCATGGACCTAAACCAAATAATCTGTAACAGGTGAAGGGAACTGTTTTGCAGCAAGGCTTCATTTGTTGTTTTTCTTGTGGTTGTTCCTCCTCTTCCTCTCATTTGATGCCCAGAGGGACCAGGGGCAGGATTTGATCCCAATTTTCCTCTTTTGGGATGACATGTTCTTGGGGAACTTTGAAACCATAAAAAAGGCCACATATGGACTACAGATACCTCTCCTCTTGATTTATAATACATATTTGATCATTTAACTTGAACATTGCAAAAGGAAGAGAGATCTAATGTGTATGAATCCTTCAGTGGCAATCATCCGCAACTCAGCTCAAGTTCTTACTGTAATTTATAGTAAGAATCAGATGTGGCTGTGAAACAATATAGCAGATAGAGTCACAGATGTTGCCATTTTGGAGCCCTACAAATTGCTCTACCAGTGGACCAGCCCTGATGTTCTAAGGAATGTTTTGAACACCTGCTCCTGAAACTTCTATACAGCAGAAAGCAAGAGGAACCGTCTTGAATTTCCTTGTACCCTAAAATTCCAGAATTAGTAGATCCAACCTCACAGTCCTAGTGAGGTATACAGGCTTTGTCAATGAACTGCAAACCTCTCAAATATTTTGTAAGTTGATTAGCAATTCCTCCTTCATTAAAAAAAAAAAAGTACATAATAGCACAGGATTCCCAATCTGACACTGAACATATGCTGCCTCCAAATGATGGGAGTTGTAGTCCAACATAGCTGGAGGATGTTAAATTGGGGAAGGCTATAATAGTACAATATATAGGAAAAATGTCCCACTGGCACTGAGTGCACCAAAGTTAGTTTCTTTCTTCTCTCGGCTATTAATCTTTTCTGAAAAATAATGCAAACCAGTAAGCTATGTTCATTTATTTCTGAAGAGTAGCGGTCCCATTGTGAATGCAAACCCATAATTTCTTCATCAAGTTCCTTAAAATTTTGGAGTTCCTAGGGTTGGGAGGGAGAGATACACTGCATTAATATAATAAACAAAAAATCGTACCTGTAAGACAGAAAATTAATACAATAATTCCTACAATTCCTACCATTTTAAATAAAAATCTAGGGGAATAGGTTATTTTGCCTTTTCATAGATATTTCCACCTGATATTTGCTTCTCAATTTGTGAGTATATTTAATGTATTTATTGATATAAAAATTTCTATTTCTTTCCAATACACATGTGATCTCTCTGAGCAGCTTACAGCATTTAAAAGCAGTAGTAAATTTTAAATGTTAAATGGAAACCACCTCAAAGACAAAACTAAGAACTTTTAACAAAAGCAAATATAGAAATGTAATAGAGACAGAGGCAGGAGAGAGCATCTTCTAACATATGTTGCCTGTGGAGAGAATACTTGCTTAAAAAAGGAAAATCTTGGCCTGTTGGTGAAACACCAGCAAATAAGGAGCCAAGAGGGCCTTCCAAGGTAGGGATTCCAAGAGCATAACTGTGCAAATTAGAAAATATTTTCTCATGTCTCATCTCAATCAAAAATATTTCTGTCACAGAGAAGGGCTTTTCCATTAGATCTAGTAGACTTGACAGCTATACAAGAGGAGGTGGTCCCTAAGATATCCTGGATCAAAACCCTTTAAACTTTTAAAAGTCATTGCTAACACTCTGAATTGTGCTAAGAAACAAACCATCAGTGCAGGCCTTGGAGGACTGATGCACACTGATACTGATTGCAAGACTCTACCAACATTCTTGCAGGTGCCTCCTAGATGCAACTGCTTTTTGAAGATAGCCCCAAGAAAAATGTGTTGCAGGAATTCAGTCTGGATGTAACTGAGGCATGCGTTAACACAGCCAAGTCTGATTTTATCAGAAATATTTTCTGCATTCAAAATGTAACTGCCACATGATCTCAGGAAAAGAGGCAGCTACTTTAAAGAGTTGCAGGCAGGTGGTATGTTTGCACTTCCATGCATTTTCAAATTAGAAGCTACGTTCAATTACAAAGATCGTGTTTAGATAATGGAATTAATCTGGAACAAATTGGAGTATGTTCATATGCTCAATCATGGTGTTTAAATGACAGAGATTATGAATAATTAATTCCCATATATATAAAGTGTTGTCTTCCACAGACCATTGAGTTCTTGAGGAAGGTCCTTAGTGTCCTGTTGACTTTGTATAGTGCCAGGCATTC